CTGATCAGATATCGTATTTAACAGAAAAAGACATTAAAGTATCTGTAATACATATATTCAGAGAAATAAAGAAAACTATTTTTAAAGAAGTAAAGGAAGGCATTATCATAACGTGACATCAAATTGAAAATATCAACAAAGAGATAGAAATTACTGTTTTATTTGGGGTTAATATGAGGGCACATATAATTAGGTTACATTATTTGCATTTGTAAGGTGAAGTCCAAAGTCTAAGTTGTAGTCAGTCCTTTACCAAGTAAGACACACCCTTACATTGTACCCAATAGGTGGGAACTTACAGAGCTCCCCACCTTCTTGAATTTAATTGTGTTTTTCTCTCATGTGGGCCATAAGGACATTCGCACTAAAATGCTTATAGCAGCTCTGTTCACAGTTGCAAAGATGTGGAAACAACCCATGTCCATCAAACTATGAACAGATTACTAAACTGTGGTATATGTATACCATGAAATACTATTCAGCCATAAAAGATGGAAACTTTGCAGCTTTTGCATATACCTGTATGGATTTGGAGAACATTCTCCTAAGTAAAGTGGCTCAAGAATGAAAAAGCAAGCATCTCATGTACTGAGTACTAATGTGAAAATAGGAGATAGAAATTATTTTTTAAAAAAAATGAAGGCTGGGCATTGTGGTGGTTGCCTGTATTCCCAGGTACTTGGAAGGCTGAGGCAAGAAGATCACTTGAGCCCAAGAGTTTGAGGTTGCTGTGAGCTATGATGCTACAGCACTCTACCCAGGGTGATAGAGTGAGACTCTGTCTTGAAAAAAAATTCTGAAATTGAAAAGCAAAATAGCTGAAATTAGAAAATCACTAGGGGGGCTCAACAGTATTTTGAATGGGTTGAAGAAAGAAGTAGCAAACTTGAAGCTAGACAGATAGAGGTTATATATTTCAAAGACTAATGAGGAAAAAAAGAGTGAAAAAAATGAATGTGCCTTCTGAAAAACGTGAAAAACATTAAGTACACCAACACATATGTAACAGAAGTGTCAAAAGAGAGGGGAGAGAGAAAGGAGTAGAAATATTTAAAGAAATAATGGCTGAAATCATCCCAAATTTATTGAACAAATCCAGGAAGCCAATCACTTCCATGTTGGATAAACTCAATAAGATGCACAAACAAATACATAATATTAATAGTAAAGATACAGAAAGTCAAAGACAAGGAGAAATTCTTGAAAACAACAGGAGAAAAATTGACTTGTTACTTACAAAAGAAATCCAACAAGATGTACTGCTGACAAATCAAAACCACTTTGAGATATCACCTAACTCCAGTTAGATTTGCCCACATCATAAAGTCCAAAATCTGCAGATGCTGGTGTGACTGTGGAGAGGAGGGAACACTTCTACACTGCTGGGGGGATTGCAAACTAAAACAACCTTTATGGAAAGAAGTATAGAGAATCTTCAAAGAACTAAAAGTTGACATTCCATTTGATCCCACAATTCCATTACTAGGTATCTACCCAGAAGAACAAAAATGATTTTACCACAAAGACATTTACACAAGAATTTTTACTGCAGCCCAATTCATAATTGACAAGTTGTGGAAGCAACACAAACACCCATCAATCCATGAATGTATTAACAAATTGTGGTATATGTATACCATAGAATACTATTCAGCCATAAAAAGATGGAGACTTTGCATCTTTTATGTTTACCTGGATGGAGTTGGAACACATTCTTCTTAGTAAAGTATCTCAAATAAATGGGGGAAAAAAGTATCCAATGTACTCAATATTATTATGAAACCAATATGTAAACACTTATATACTCACACAAATGAAAAAACACAAATATAGTCTAGCAAGAGGCAGGGGTGAGCAGGGAGAGGGGAGAGGAAGGGAGGAGGGCCATTGGTGAGAGGAGGGAGAGAATTTGGTGGGATCTCACCTAATATGTACAATGCAAGGGTATATTTCAAAATAACTAAGAGTAAATTTTAAATGTCTTACCACAAAAAATAAGTGAGGTGATGGCTATGTTAGTCAGTTTGATTTAAGCATTCCACATTGTATATCAAAGCATCACATAGTATCCCATAAATGTATAGTTATGATTTAATTAAAAATTAATAAAAAAATGTACTGCTGACTTTTCAGCAATAATAGAAGACAATAAGATGACAAATTCAAAGTGCATCTGCCCCCCAAAAAACCAGTCAAACTAGAATCCTATAAACAGTAAATTTATCTTTCAAAAGTGAAGTAAAAATAAAAACATTTATAGGTAAACATAAACTGAGATAACTTGTTGCCAGCAGACCCACTTTAGAAGAAATACTAAAGGAAGTTTTTCAGGCTGACAACAACTGAAACTGGATGGTAATTCAAGTAGATATGAATAAACAAAAAACATATAGATAATGGTTAACTTAATGTGCCAAACTGACTGGGTGGGGTACCCAGATTAAACATTTCTTCTGGGAGTGTCTATAAGGGTGATGAGATTAGCATTTGAATTAGTGGACTGAGTAAAGAAAATTGCCCTGCCCAGTGTGAGTGGGCCCCTTTCAATCTGTGTTGAGGGTCAGAACAGAGCTTAAAGGTAGCAAAAGGAGGAATTCCTTTTCTTCACCTGATAGCTGAGCTGGGAGATCAGTTCTGCTCTTGACTGGGCCTTATACCATCAGCCCTCTAGTTCTCAAAACTACACCACCAGCTTTCCTGGATCTCCAGCTGTCAACTGGCTGGCAGACTGTGGGACTTCTCGGCCTCCATGATATCATGAACTAATTTCTTATAATAAAGCACATACACCTTTTATTGGCTCTTTTTCTCTGAAGAACCCTAATACAAATTTTTATTCTGAGGGTATTTCTAGATGACAGAATATTAAGAACATGTTTTCTGAATTAGTTCTGGGGTATCTATTATCTAATTAGATTTAAATATGTTTAATAATTATATTTTTGTGATAAATAGAACACTGATAATTTGTGGCAAGACTGATAATATATACAAAATATCTACATTGGATACTCCTAATCAACCCCTAATAAGAAGTAAGCAACTTGGTGGCTGTGTATATGATAATTTCAAACATTTTAAAAGATTCATGTGTATAATTAGCTTGGCTGTTTTTTCCTAATGTCATTTGGACAAATTGGTACAAGAAAAGAATAATGTTTAGCATTCAAATTCCCAGCTCAAGCACTGGAAAAATGATCCAAGATCTTCTATGTGTTCCTGAAGGAGACCCTAATCTTCTCTGGCTGCAAGGCTGAAACTAGTGACAATCAAACACAAACTCCCATCCTGCTGGCTAAACTGCAACAGAAGTTGAATTTCCAGCTTCACAGGATGTCTATTGTTAAAGTGAAGGTATTCACTGGGAAAGAACAGGATCTGTAAATTGAAATGGAGATATGTGAGAAGACCCTGATGAGATTGGGAACACTGAGGTCCTAAATTGTGACAAGTCTGCTTTGCCAGTGGTGTCTTCTCTGTTCCCCGCAGAAGCTGCCTGTCCACACTCAGTGGTATCAATCTACCCATTATCCAGTGGTATTGGCCTGTGTTCCTTAATCTAAGGGGATAAACCCTGTGCTGCTTGAGGAAATTATAATGTCCTCTCTTAAGATAATTAGTATGCAACACAATGCTGATTCTCCTCCGGAGCCACTGCAATCACCCTTCTTTGCTTCCAGACCTATAACAAGACTCAAGTTCCAGCAGTCTTATAAAGGTGATGTACAAAGTATTACCCATCAGAAAGTCTGCTACACTCCAAAAGAACTAAAGTTGTCCCTTGAACAACATGGAGTTTATGACCACCAACACTCTGCACAGTCAAAAGTCCATGTATAACTTTTGACTTCCCCAAACTTCACTACTAATGGCCTACTGTTAAACAGAATCCTTATTGATAACATAGTAAATTAAAACATATTTTACTTTATTCTTTAGAATAAAGCCAGAGAAAAGAAAATGTTAAGAAAATTATAATGAAGAGAAAATTTACTCGCTGCTCATTAAGTGGAAATGGGTCATCATAAGATTCTTCATCCTTGTCATCTTCACATTGAGTAGGCTGAGAGGAGGAAGAGGAAGGGTTGGTATTGCTGTTTCAGGGGTGGCAGAGGCAGAAGAAAATTTGTAGATAAGAGGACTCACCCAATTCAAACTCATATTGTTAAAGGGTCAACTGTATTCGAGTTTTCCAATTATTCAGATAGAAATATGTGAAATATATGTGCAAATAAAAATTATGGATATGGGATAATGATGGAAGGAACATAAGATTGAGTTAGAACAAATTTATGGATGTATGTTCAATAAGCACAGATTCTGAATTTAATGCTGCAGACTCAAAAAGTTGAAAAGGACTGCAACAATGTGGTTGGTTGGCTGAAACATGGACTACAAGGTGGCCCACAGTAAAGGAATTAGAAGTTCCAGACATTCCTTGGTTTAATATAAAGGAAGAGCTTCAAAGGCTTAAGGAGATTGGAATGTCAGAGTGGATATGTCATTTAATACCTACTTACTTATCCTGAAATACCTTTCAACATAACTGGAAGAAATAAATTTGTGAGGAAACCCTCATCACAGAAGAGTTCTGTGATCTTTCTTCTCTATAGGCCAGATATTATAGTGGGAACTGCAATCACTGAATTGGGAAACATAAAATCAATGGGAGTAATTGGATACCAGGGTGGCAGCCATCATGTGGCAGCACTCAGAAACCAAATGCAAAGTGGCCATAGTTACTATAAAGCAGCTATCAGAATTGTCTGATTTACACAAATGTGTGATATTGGCTGTACCACCTGGAACTTGTTGATCTCTTCTTACCTTATAGGCTAAGCAAGGTTGGACCTGGTCAGTCTCAGTCCTACCTGAGAGATCACCAGGAAACACCAGGTGTTATAGTTTTCCGAAAGAAAAAAAAAAAATTGGACTTGCCCGTGAACTGTGAGCTGCCCAGACTTCGCCTCTCAGCTTCTGCACTGCCTGCTACTGCCACCATGGCCCAAGATGACATTGCACTGATTGGACTGGCTGTCATGGGCCAGAATTTAATATTGAACATGAACGACCATGGCTTTGTGATCTGTGCCTTTAACAGAACAGTTTCCAAAGTTGATGATTTCTTGGCCAATGAGGCAAAGGGAACCAAAGTGGTTGGTGCTCAGTCCTTGAAGGAGATGGTCTCCAAGTTGAAGAAGCCCTGGAGGATTATTCTTCTTGTGAAGGCTATTCAAGCTGTTGATGATTTCATCAAAAAATTGGTACCATTGTTGGACACTGGTGACATCATCATTGATGGAGGAAATTCTGAATATAGGGATACCACAAGATATTTTCAAGACCTCAAAGCCAAGGGCATCTTATTTGTGGGGAGTGGAGTTAGTGGTGGAGAAGATGGGGCCCCGTATGGCCCATCACTCATGCCTGGAGGGAACAAAGAAGCTTGGCCCTATATCAAGACAATCTTTCAGGGCATTGCTGCGAAAGTAGGCACTGGAGAACCCTGCTGTGGCTGGGTGGAAGAGAAAGCAGGGCACTTTGTGAAGATGGTGCACAATGGAATAGAGTATGGTGACATGCGGCTAATCTGTGAGGCTTACCACTTGATGAGAGATGTCCTGGGCATGGAGCAAAGTGAGATGGCACAGGCCTTTGAAGAGTGGAATAAGATGGAAGTAGACTCATTCCTGACTGAAATCACAGCCAATATTCTCAAGTTCCAAGATAACAATGGCAAATACCTGCTGCCAAAAATCAGTGACAGAGCTGGGCAGAAGGGCACCGGGAATTGGTCGGCTATCTCCACCCTGGAATATGGCATCCCTGTCGCCCTCATTGGAGAAGCTGTCTTTGCTCGATGCTTATCATCTCTGAAGGATGAAAGAATTCAAGCAAGCAAAAAACTAATGGGTCCCCAAAAGACCCAGTTTGAAGGTGACAAGAAATCATTCCTGGAAGACATTCAAAAGGCCCTCTATGCTTCCAAGATCATCTCTTATGCCCAAGGCTTTATGCTGCTAAGACAAGCAGCCATTGAATTTGGCTGGACCCTCAATTATGGTGGCATCACCCTGATGTGGAGAGGGAGCTGCATCATCAGGAGTGTATTCCTAGAAAAGATAAAGGATGCATTTGATCAAAACCCGGAACTTCAGAACCTACTACTTGACAACTTCTTTAAGTCAGCTGTTGAAAACTGCCAGGCCTCCTGGCAGTGGGTAGTCAGTACTGGTGTCCAGGCAGGCATCCCCATGCCCTGCTTCACCACTGCCCTCTCCTTCTATAATGGGTACAGACATGAGATGCTACCAGCCAACCTCATCCAGGCTAAGCAGGATTACTTTGGAGCTCATACCTATGAACTCTTAGCCAACGCGTGACAGTTTATCCACACTAACTGGACGGGCCATGGTGGCAACGTGTCCTCCTCTTCATACAATGCTTAACCAGACTGTATCTGTTACCCTCCATGATTCCATAGACCAGGACGTTCCACGTGCACACAGCACTGCTTACACAGCCCTTTGCCCTATTTTCTGCTCAGATCTCTTAAAGTAGTGTTGTAAGACACGCCTGAGAAAGAGCTTATTTGTAAAGTGGTTCTGTGGGGACTGTCATGCCTTCTGCCCTCACCTCTGGGAACTCCCCAGGAGCCGATCATGTGTGTCACTACAGGAACTAGCTCCTTGGAGCAGTCCTTTCTACGTGTCCTCTGTGGGCTAATGAGGCTCTTGTTATGTGGATGGGAAGGGCGTTTGTCATTTAATCAAACTGGAACTTTGTAACATGCAGCTGAGTTCCCCTTTCCCTTTACTCAGTAAAAGCCACTATATATATATATACACACACACACACATGGGGTGGTGCCTGTGGCTCAAAGGAGTAGGGTGCCAGCTCCATATGCCGGAGGTGGTGGGTTCAAACCCAGCCCCATTCAAAAAACAAACAAACAAAAAATCAGTACATGAATGCTCACAGTAGCACTATGCACAAGAGGCAAAAGGTAGAAGCAACCTAAATGTCCATCAATTGATGAGTGGATAAACAAAATGTAATATACGAGTTTGGACAACTGAGTTCATGAAATTAATTGTCCAACTTCATTTACATACATATATTTTTAACTATAAAAATAAATAAATTTCTGATATAAGGTACAAAATAGATGAACCTTAAAACACTGCACCAAGTAAAAGAAGTTAGTTGCGAATGACAACATAATTTAATTCACATAAAATATTTAGAATAGAGAAATCTATAGAGGCAGTAAATAGATTAGTGGTTACTTAAGGTGCCAGGTAGAAAGAGAAATAATAGCTAAAATAATAGCTATTATTATTAAAGCTGAATTTATATTATTCAGCTAAAATACCTGAATGTAGTGACTGTTTTAAGGAAGATGAAATAATTTATTTTGATGACTGTTGCACATATCTGTGAATATGCTAAAAGACTGTGCACTTTAAATAAGTGAAGTGAATATCAATAAAGCTGTTAAAAACAAGTCTTAACTCTGTGTTCAACAAATCCACTTGTAAAGACACAACTAGGTTAAAAGTAAAGTGATGAAAAAAGACATACCACGATAACACAAATAAAAACAAATCTGTTCGCTCAATGCATGTAGCCCAAGTGGCTACGGCGCTAGACACATACACCAGAGCCGGTGGGTTCAAATCCAGCCTGGGCCTGCCAAACAACAATGACAACTACAACCACAAAAAATAGCTGGGCATTGTGGCAGGCACCTGTAGTCCCAGCTCCTTGGGAGGTTGAGACAAGAGAATGGTTTAAGCCCAGGAGTTGGAGGTTGCTGTGAGCTGTGATGTCAGAGCACTCTACTCAGGGTGACAACTTGAGGCTCTGTCTCAAACAAACAAACAAACAACAACAATGAAAAACCAACAAATCTGTTTCAGAAAAACCTTATTTCAGAATAAGAAAAATTATAAGGGTTAATGAGCAACATTAAAAAAAATGATGAAAAATGAAAATTTCCAAGATGACATAATAGTCCTTGCTGTGCATGTATGTAATAGGAGAGAATTAAATTATGTGAGGGATAAATTTATAGAAATACAAAAATAATAAACAAATACACTATAATAGTTGGAGACTTGAACACTCCTCATCAATAATTGGCAGAAAATGAGTAAGTGTATTAATTGAATGATACCATTGATTAACTGGCTCTAATAGACATATATAGAATATTACATTCAGCAACAGAATAGACATTCATTCACCAAGATATACTCTATACTAGATGACTAAAAAAAAAAAAACAGCTTTAGAAATTAAAAAGAATCATGTAAATATTCTCAGATGAGAATCAAATTAAACCGGAAATTAATAACAGAAAGACACCTAAAAATCTTAAAATATTTAGTTTAAATAACCCATTTGTAAATAAAACATACATCAAGGAAGAAGGCTCAAGGGAAATTAAAAATGAACATATCAAAATTTGAAGGATGCAGTAAAAGCAGGGCCTAAAAGGAATTTGTAAATTAAATTTATATGTTGAAAAGATGAAGGATCTAAAATCAGTAACCTAATATTCTATCTTAGCAAACTAGAGAAACAAGAGTAATTTAAACCTAAACAATATTAAAAAAGGAAATAATGAGAATTAAAGCAGAAAGAAATGAAATTGAAAATAGCAAATCAGTAGAGTAAATTAATGAGTGGAAAAGTTGGTTCTTTGAAAATACTAATACAATTGCTAAAAATCAAGCTAGGCTAACCAAGAAAAGAGAAGAGGCAATCGATAATATCAGAAATAAAAGAAGTTGTAACTCCTTAATGAATGCACATTAAAGGATATTTACAAAATATTAGGAACTACTGTATTCCCACAAATTCAATCACATAGATCAGGAGGTGTCCAACTTGCAGGATGGCTATGAATTCAATCCAACATAAAATCATAAAGTTACTTAAAACATTATGAGATTTCTTTTGTGATTTTTTGGTGGAACTGGATTGGGTGGTACTTGAACATGAACTTTGTAGATGACAATGTCGTGAAGCAATGTCAATTAAAACATATGTACATTCTCCCTATTTATATGCATGTGTGGCTTCAGTTTTACAGAAGGCTGTGGCTTCTAGGCTGTTATCTTTCAAGTGCAGATAGTTGAATCAATATCATCCAATGTTATATTTACTTACACATCTCAGCGGCACATCACACATCACCCACCACACTTTATAGTTGGCCCTCCACCTTGCCCTGCATGGCAGCCGAGAAGTGGAAGGACCCAAACCTGGCTTTCTATTTTCCTGACAATTAATTTTCATAATAAGAATAAATATAGTCCCTTACCTATTATTATCTTTTTTAATCCCAGCATGGCTTCTATAACATCTCACAAGAAAACAGAACCTAAAAAATGAAAAATTATGGATGAAGTAAAATTGTTCAATGAAAAGTAGACAGATGACTACTTTTTTTGCCAAGGCAAATAGTAAGGTACTCTACTTAATCAAGATCATCTATATTTCTGTCTAACAAGGGTACAAGTGAACTTTTCTAGAAATAGAATGTAAACGTTTTGACACAATGACTATGCAAATTACATGAAATCTATGTGAACCAGCTTGATGAAAGTGTTTCAAAATGTATGTGAAAACACTACACTGTACTCCCTGTTTGCATTAATGTATAGAGCTATCATTTAATAAAAAAAAAAAAAAAAATTCATAGATAATTGGTGCAAGTTTTCAAAGATAAAAATTTGAAAAGACATTATATGTAAAAACATGCTGCCAAATTTGATGCATATGAAGGACTGTGTTGTAAGGACAAAATAGCACAACGAAAAAAAAAATCTGTCTTCTAAACAATTTTTTAAAGTTACAACTCAGATTCCATTGTAATAGCAAATAAAATCAAAACCATTAATAAATTATTATTAATTATATTGTTATTAATTATATTATAAATAATATAATTATTTATTTAATAGCAAATAAAATCAAAACCATTTACTGATGGTGAGTTTATTAAGCATTGTATGGAAAGCATTTCAGATATAATTTACCCTGAAAAAAGAAGGGATATTTCTAAAATCAGTTTGTCTCACCAGACTACAGCCAGGCAAATTGAACAAATTGGAAAAAATCTACCAAAAACTTCGGAAAGTAAAGCTGCTAATTTAAAATTGTATGCTTTGGTGATGGATGACTGCACTGATGCTACAAATACAGGCCAACTTGCCACTTTTATTAGAGGTATTAATGATGAATATAATGTCATTGAGGAAATGGCTTCTTTAGTTCCTTTCACAGATACAACTAAATCAAGAGATACAAAGTAGTAAAACTGTGTTAAAGAGATTCTTTATCCATTGTCAATAAATCTGGTCTAGTTACTGACAGTGCTCTGGTGATGATAGGTAAATGAAAGGGAGTTGTAAAATTAATTGATGAAGCATTATATGCACAAATGCTTATTAATAATGGATAACATTGGGCAGTGCCTGTGGCTCAAAGGAGTAGGGTGCTGACCCCATATGTCAGAGGTGGGGGGTTCAAAACCAGTCCTGACCAAAAACTGCAATAAATAAATAAATAAATAAATAATGGATAATGCCATACAAATCATCATCAAGACTGAATTTTATAAGGGTCAAGGGATTGACCCATCACTAATTCCAGAAATTCCTTAAGAATATTGATGCTGACTATGGAAACAATATTTCCTTTTCAGAAGTAAGATGGCAAAGTTGAGGCCAAATGCTGAAAATATTTTAAGATTTGTGACATTTTATTAGGTCGTTTATCGTATTAAAAACCAAATTTGTGCCAGAACTTGATGATTAAAAACAAGCTTACAGATTTGGCATTTTTAGTAGATTTAACTACTAACATTTAAAGGAGTTAAACATATCTTCCAGGTCAAAACCGACTTATCTGCACAGTGTCTCAAACCGTAACAGTGTTCCAAATGAAACTGAAATTATGGTAAGCTCAAACTAAGATGAACAATTTTATGCATTTCTTTCACAAAATTACGGCTGTGTACATTAATGCATTCATGGGGTACAATCTGCTGGGTTTGTATACAATTTGACATACTTATGACAAACTGGTTAACATAGCTTTCACTGCTCTTAATTAATTATTTGAATTTGTATATTCTAATCTCTTGCCCACAATGAGATGGGATCACTTGCTCTTTTCTTGTTATTATGTTTTAGTTATCTGTGGATTCTGATTATCAAACCTTTGTCAGCGACATAACCTACAGTTATCATCTCCCATTCTGAGGTCTGTCTTCTTGCTTTACTTACTGTGCTCTTGGATGTGCAGAAGGTTTTTAGTTTGATCAGATCCCAGTTATGTATTTTTGGGGTTGCTTCAATTGCCTGGGGGG